GATGTAGGGCAGAATGCAATTAGCATACACGTCTGTCCACCTTGAGATTCGCGCTAGTATTATTTCTCTTCATATTCTCTGTTTGAGTATGTGGAATAATGTTAAAAATTCACAGCGTGAATTCTGTAGTTGTGAGGTGAAATTCCGTATCACAATTTTATAAAATGTTCGACATCGAACCTGCACCTTCTCTTTGTTTTTCATTCTCTGACACAGGACTCCGCGGATGAAGACACCACATCATCGACTTGCAAAAAGGACGATTCCTGTGATGTAACCTCTATTTTCGCTCAGAGGCGTCGACAAACCATATACGCGAACATGGGTTTTTATTAGGAAAGAAACCGAAAATCCGTTGAATATTATAATAAAAGTGAACTTTATATTAATAACAAGTAAGGAAGGGCTAAGTTCGGGTGCAATCGAACATTTTATGCTCTTGCCACCTGCAGGAATCAAAGCGACTTTATATGTAATACCAATGATGTAGACAAAAGTCAGCCGGATGTTCGAAAATCCTGTTATTAGTCATATAGGGGCTGTAACAAGTTTTCGCTGGAATTTATTTATTTTAGACACAAAGATACATTATGAGTAAAACACTCTCTCTTATTTTCTTGGGATAACTCACATATTGGCCGGTATACTATATGCTCTACAAAGCTACCAGAAATTCGAATATCTTTATATAATATTAAAGCCATTTTTGACATACAGAAATACCATTGTAAAAGAAGCTGTATTCGCTAATTCCAATTATATAAATCACACATTGACCGACATTTTCAATTAAGAATCAATTATAGGTATCTTGGTCTAAATATTCGGTACCTAAGGGGCAAGAACAGGGGCAAACGAAAAGTTTCAATTCGATGTAAACAATTTTTAGTCGAAAGTGGCGCACTCTCAAGACATTATATGTGCAAATTTCATCCCGTTATATTAATTCCTTCTTGATTTGTTTAATAATGATAGTGAATTTTAAAATCGTGCTATATGGGAAGTGGGCGTGGTTGTTGTCTGGTTTCGTCCATATTAACAATATGACATAATAATGTAAGAAGAAAGCCATGTACTACATTTTACACCGGTTCAAATAAAGCTCTCTCATATCTCTTCGTCGCTAAAATTTCATGTCTCTGGCGTATTCAGTTATTGATTTATCGCGGTTTTAGTAGTTTTTAAGAAAACCGTTATATGGAGAGTGTTTGCATCCAATATCGGTAGAGGTTCTTATAATTATTCCTTCTCCACGTGGCTTTTCGATGGAGTCTACTTCTTCTCTTCCATCCGGACAACATGACCTAGTCCATCATCGTTCCATCGATTGCGATACTCGCCGTTGGCTCTGTGCAAAGGACCAAAAATCTCTCGCAGAGCTTTTCTCTTGAAAACTCGTAACGCTGCTTTTTTATAAGATAAATAGTGACTTATATAATTCACTCTTTATTTGTCGAGAATCAAAATCAGCTCTGAAATCGGCGAAGAGATGGGGTATGTCGATCCTTTTTTTTACTAGTATTTTCCAGTTTTGGCGCAATCTAGTCAATTGTTGATTTTCCAGAGCTGAAGCCACACTGAGAAGGCCCAATCAGTTTATTGACGGTGGGCTTTAATTTTCTCACAATGCGCTTGATAGAACCTTATTTGTGAGGTTTAGGAGACTTATCCCACGATAGTTGGCGCAGATTGGGCTCCCTTTTAGTGAATTGGGCAGAGCCAATTACCATATTCTACAAAAAATCTCTCTGTTAGTTTTTCGCCGCAGTATTTGAATAGCTCGGCCGGCAATCTACGGATATCGTCTTTTAGTTGTTCTTCAGAAGGAATGGAACGCTGATCTGTAGCTATTGATTGGGGAATCGGGTTCACCATCTTCTGATGTTATGCTGTTACTGCCACTTAATAGATGGAGAAGTGTTCTCTCCACAATTTCAGTCTTATTTGGGTATGGAAACAACCTTATGTTAGTCACCCCATCCTTTCGTAGAATTTTCTCGCATTACCCCTCTCGGCCAGCTTGTCTGCTCACGCATTCTGGCATCTTTTTTTTTTGGTCTGCAAATTTGTTTCGCTGCACTCGTAAAGTCTCGGTATCTATCCGATCACGCAATTGTAGTGGTTATTTGTAAAGTTAAGAGGTAGGCAGTCTGTTTTCTCTCGTGCCAATTGTTCTGTTGCTTTTTTCCGAAAAGAAAAGGTTTCGTTTACAGCTGTACGTAAGGTGCTTTAAACGCCGTTTCACAGGACCGCAGATGCTGATGAGTGCTCTCAAATAGCAAAAGTGCAAATCGACAGTCGTTCGTCTGTCTGTTGTAATTGAAGCTTCCGAAAGTTGAACCGTTCTTGTAGTTGTTGACGTGCGTTCTTCGCAGCTACAAGAGAGTGGTCTGAGTCGATGCTAGGACCTCGGGGGGTACGCATAGCTAAAATACCAAAGATGCTCTTAATAAGCGCTAAGAGCGTACCTATGAGAGGTATCCACGCATCAACGTCAAGATGGACAAAGATGGTGTCTATTGCAAAACGGTCGGAAAATCCTGCCCACATGATGAAACATTTTAAGGTAAACATTTTTTTCCAATTTATTTCTTAAATGTGGGCTAACTAAGTTTATTCGGACCTTTTGCACATTATAGAACATACTTTTGACAATCTAGCGTAATTTTTTCATACAGAAATATTGAAGCATAAGCCGGTTACAGATCTTCTCCCAGAACGTCTTGAGAAAAAAACACTTTGCAGCGTTCATCATAACTCGTTTGGAAAGATCCGAAAATAAAAGACCTGAAAAATAAGTCATAATCAAATTCCCCTTTCCGCGTCGTTTTCTGAAAATTTTCGTTCATTACAAAATTACATTAGAAAATTAAATAAAAATTAAAGAAATAAATTCGCAAAAATAGTATTTTTTTATCATGAAAACATTACCCCACCCCTTTAATGAGAGAGGGTACGTACTTAGTATTTTTATACCCTGAACAGGGTATATTAATTTTGTCGCGAAGTTTGTAACACCCAGAAGAAAGCGTCGAAGACCCTATAAAGTATATATATAAATGATCACTATGTTGAGCTGATTCGATTTAGCCATGTCCGTCTGTCCGTCTTTCTGTATATATACGAACTAGTCCCTTAGTTTTTAAAATATCGTTTTGAAATTTTGCAAACACCATTTTCTCTTCAAGAAGCTACTCATTTGTCGGAACTGCTGATATCGGACCACTATAACACATAGCTGCCATATAAACTGAACGATCGGAATCTAGTGCTGGTATGGAAAACTTTTGCATTTAATAAGATATATTCGCGAAATTTGGTATAGATTATGTTCTAAGACAATTATGTAATCTCTGAAAAAATTGTTCAGATCGGTTAACTATAACATATAGCTGCCATACAAACTGAATGATCGGAATCAAATGCTTGCATGAGAAACTTCCTCATTTTACGATATATCTTCACGAAATTTGGTAAGAGTTATTTTTCATAAAAATAATGTAATATCGG